CAAAAAAAAAAAAAAAAAAAGACTGGGTTTTATCAATGACTCAATGAACCATGGAAGTTTGCAAAATATGAGCAAGACCTTAGTAGATTGAAAGTTAACACCCTGGGCCTTTAATCTGTTAGACTGGGAAGAAACAAACGAATGTTTAGTATTGCTAGGGATACAGAATAACTGGCACAAAGTGCCAGTTGATAAACATTTGAAAAGGCCATTTAACATACTCAGAAAAATGTATTGGAAAGTATCCCTTCTTACTAATGTTATCTTGAAAATAAATTAGTGTGGTCTACAGTTTTATCAGTTTCCAAGCTATTCACGGATCAATAAAAAACAAATTTCCATCATGTACAACACATGCAGGCTAAGCTAAAAAGATTTCATACTTAGAAACTTTCCATCTGCAAATGAAATAGGATGAGCTCCAGGCTTCTCGATTTTGAAGATTTCTTCTATAAATAATACTCTGCAGTCATTTAATGTTCCTTCAGAACCCCTGTTTAAAAGAGAAAGAAAAGTTAACTTTCCCCAAAATATCTAAACCAAATGGCAAATAATAACAATTAGAAGCCAGTTTGGAAAACTCACTACTTGCCCACTTACAAATTTGATATTACCACCATTCCAATTACTCTCAACTATTGTTTCTACCAGTGGAAAAAGTTTAATAGTGATTTGTTAATATTCAAGGTATATATAACTTCAGGAAAATCATAAATAAAATGAAAAAAATTCACAACTTCATTACTTGGATTACCTGGTAAAGAAGTAATTATCATGTAAATTTACCTTAAATACTATGATACCTTGTCGATTAGCATGAAGTTTAAATGTATTTCCAATAAAAACAGAAAAAAAATGCTTTCTAAAAAGTCTTTCAGTGGTGGCATATGTCTCTAACTCTAGGTACTCAGGAGCAGAGATTGGTAGGATTGTGATTTGAGATCAGCTTAGATAAAAAGTTAGAGATTTACTTCTCAACATGTAAGTTTGGCAATGCATACCTGTCAACCCAGCAAAGCTTGACATGTAATGAAGGAACATAACAGTGACCAACCCCAGGCAAAACCACAAGACCCTATCCAAAAGCTAAGAGCAAAAGCAAGGCTGGGGCATAGCTCTGAGTTCAAACCAAAGTATTACAAAAAGAAAAAGTTTTAAAATAGGAAGTCATATTTGCCTGTTTTGATTTAACTTTATTTACATATATTTCTACAGTTGTCTACTCTGTATATTTCCCTTTTTGATATATAGTTTCAAATATAAGGTACACACAAATCCAAGAATCCTAAATTATTATTTTCAGTCCTGGAACCAGAGGTTGACCTCAGGGCCTTATGCTCTCTCCTCAGCTTTCCCACTAATGGCTGGAACTTTTCCACTTGAGTTACACCTCCAGTCCAGCATTTTGCTTATTTATAGATTGTAGTCAATGCAGAGTTTTCTGCCTGTTGCTGTTTTCAAATCTGGATCCTCCAAATTACAGCCTCCTATGAGCCACAAATGTCTGGTTCTAAATCATCTTCTGAAATGTTTCCTTTTACTTCTAATAATATATAAAGTCTACTACTTTTGGTTAGCATTCATCTGCTTGGAGACTTCTTTTCCATTCTCTCATCCTTTTATACCTTTTGACAATGAATATAATGAATGCACAATTATACATAAATGATAGCTTAACCAATGTCAAGATGTACATCCTTTTTTTTTTTTTTTTTGGGTCCGGTCGTGGGGCCTGAACTCTGGGCCTGGGCGCTGTCCCTCAGCTCTTCAGCTCAAGGCTAACGCTCTACCACTTGAGCCACAGCGCCACTTCCGGCTTTTTGCTTATGTGGTGCTGAGGAATCGAACCCAGGGCCTCATGCATGCAAGGCAAATGCTCTATCACTGAGCCACCTTCCCAGCTCCAAGATGTACATCCTTTAATCACCAGTCATGACAGAAGATAGAAATTTCAGCTACTTCAAACGTCCTACATATGACAACTTCCTTGCATGAAACAATATAAAGTTCCAGTACCATATTCCTTATATCCTCCCAAGTTATATTTAATTTTCTTTAGTGTCATCACCTGTGTACCTCTCTAATCATATGGTATAGTAATACCTGTATTTTTAAAGTCTATAGTCTAAAACTGGGCACTAGTGGCTCACGCCTATAATACCAGCTACTCAGGAGGCTGAGATCTGAGGATTGCAGTTCAAAGCCAGCCTGGCCAGGAAAGTCTCTGAGACCCTTATCGCCAATAAACCACCAGAAAACCAGAAACAGTGCTGTGGGTCAAGTGGCAGAGTACTTGCCTTGAGCTGAGGAACTCAGGGACAGAGCCCAGGCCCAGAGTACAACTCCCACAACCAACAACAATAACAAAAAATCTATTATCTAAACATTTTCACAACTCTTGTTCTTGTCTTCTGTTGCAGTATTCTAACCATTTGTCTACGCTTCTCTGTCTTGATTTTGATACTTGTATTCCCAAAGTATAATTTAAACTGTTTAGCCATTTGTGGTGCCCAGAAATTGGCAAAAACAACCTTGGCCCATTGTTTTTGTAAATAAAGTTTTTATTGAAACCTTCTCTGCAGCTTTTACTGGAGAAGTATGCGCAGATTGCTAAATGTCTTCATGTCATGTAGTTTAGCTTCTTCTGGAAGTGATCCAAGGAAATGCTTAAAACAGAGCTGCCAGTTGGGCGTTGGTTGCTCACTTCTGTAATCCTAGCTACTCAGAAGACTGAGATCTGAGCATCATGGTTCCAAGAGAGCCCGGACAGTAAACTTTGTGAGACTCTTATCTTCAATTAATCACAGCAAACGCAGGAAGTGTTGTGGCTCAAATGGCAGAGTAAAAGGAGCCCAGAGACAGTGCCTAGGCCCAGAGTTAAAGCCCCAAGACTGGCAAAATCAAACAACAACAACAAACAGAGCTGTCATCCTTTATGGATAACTTCAAAGTGTGAACTATCCCTTTTGCTACCATTTTTTTTTTTTTTTGGTCGGTCATGGGGCTTGAACTCTGGGCCAGGGTGCTGTCCCTGAGCTCTTTAGCTCAAGGCTAGCGCTCTACCACTTGAGCCACAGTGCCACTTCCGGTTTTCTGGTGGTTTATTGGAGATAAGAGTCTCATGGACGTTGCTGCCTGGGCTGGCTTTGAACTTCCATCTTAAGATCTCAGCTTCCAGAGTTGCTAGGATTATAGGCATGAGCCACCAGCGTCTGGCTCACTTTTGCTACCTTCTGTTGGTCAGAGTGTCACTTCAGTAAATGAGGAAATTATGAAAAGATGAATATCAGAAATCAAGTATAACTAGGGATCATCTTCAAAGACAACCATCATAGCTGCTATTTTCAAACTAGCTTGCTTAACTTGAAATTACCACACAGGTCTTATCCCAGCCATCTATTTTGCATTTGTAGGGGACATCACATCACTAAGTTTTTTTTAAATTATGTTTTTATTATCTTTAAATAGTTGTACAAAGGAGTTATTCAACAAATCAGTTTATAAGTACAATCAATGTCAGTCTTTTCATTCTCCTCCATCCCTTCTAACCCAACCTTTCCTCTCAATTTCCTTAGTTTCATGGTATGTATTGAGTATTATGATTGCATTCTCCCCTCTCTTTTCCTCTCTTCCTTTGTCTTCTCTTGACCTTGCCCCTCCACTTTTCAAGTACCAGTTCCCTGGTATTCATTTTTTCGGATGGTGAGTTTTTCTAAGGAATGACATCATTTGAGCCCTCCTCTGCAAACACCAAACTTTAGTTAATACATTTGTGTGCACTTGCATTCAACTTGTTTACTTGTACATTTATAAATTGGTTCTAGCTCTGGGCTTGACTTACTTCACTTAACATTATTTTTTTCCAGTGGAACAGTATATCTTTCTTGCCAATAGATGAATAAAATTCCATTTTGTATATATACCACATTTTCTTGATTAATTCATCCACTGAGGGGAGGGCTGATTCCTAATCTTGGCTATGACAAATAATGTGTAATGAACGTCGTTATCTTAATGGCTTTACTGTATCCTCACCTCACATCATTAGGATAAATGGCTGAGAGTAATACTGTTAAATCAGTCTATGTTTAGTTTTTTGTTTTTTTTTTTTTTTAAAAATGCCTGTAATCTGGCTTTAGTTTATTGATATTTACTGTAGAATGTCTGTCCTTGGTTTCCTTTGTAGAATGAGGATAAAGGTTCTTTTTTTTGGGGGGGGGGTCCAGTCGTGGGGCCTGAACTCTGGGCCTGGGCACTGTCCCTCAGCTCTTCAGCTCAAGGCTAGTGCTCTACAACTTGAGCCACAGTGCCACTTCGGGCTTTTTTTTTTCTGCTTATGTGGTGCTGAGGAATCGAACTCAGGGCCTCATGCATGCAAGGCAAGTGCTCTACCACTGAGCCACCTTCCCAGCCTCTATGTTTCGTTTTTTGAGGAATCTCCAAACTGCTTTCCACAGTGATTGAATGAGTTTATATTTCCACTAGCAGTGTACTAGGGTTCCTTTCCTCCACACCGTCAGTTGTTGTCTGTATTCTTGCTTTTTGTCAGTCATAGGGCTTGAACTCTAGGCCTCCGCACTGTCCCTGAGCTCTTCAGCTCAAGGCAAACACTCTACCACTTGAGCCACAGAGTCATTTCTGGTGGTTAATTGGAAATAAGAGTCTCATGGATTTGCCTGCCAGGGCTGGCTTTTAGCCGGGATCTTCAGATCTCAGCCTCTAGATTAGCTAGGATTACAGGCCTGAGCCACCAGCACCTGGCTATTGTATTCTTGCTGGTGGCCATTCTAACTGGGATGATGAACTCTCAGTGTTATTTTGATTTGCATTTATTTTATGACCAGAGATAGCTGAGTATTTCTTCATGTGTCTATTCGGCCATTTTTATTTTTTCTTCTTCTGAAAAACCTCTATTTAGGTCATTTGTCCATTTTTTAATTGAGCTATTAATTCTTTGAAGGTTTGGTTTCTTCTTTTTTTTTTTTTTGTCAGTCATGGGGCTTGAACTCTGACCTTGGGCACTGTTCCTGCACTCGTCAGCTCAAGGCCAGTGCTCTGTGGCTTGAGCCACAGAGCCACTTTCTGATTTTCTGAGTGGTTTACTGGAGATAAAGGTCTCACAGATTTTCCTGACAGGGCTGGCTTTGAACAGTGATCCTCAGATCTCAGCCTCCTGAGTAGCTAGGATTACAGGTGTGAGTCATTGGCACCAGGCAGGTTTAGTTTCTTGAGCCCTTTGTATAGTCTCGCTATTAGGTCAGTATCTGGTGTATGGCTGGTAAAGATCTTCCATTCTGTAGGCTGTCTTTCCAGATTGTTAACTGTCTTTTGTCATGCAGAAACTTCTTAGTTTGATGCAATACTATGTCAACTTCCTCACTGATTTGCCAAAACCCAAAAACTATATTCAGAAAGTTCCTGCTTCTGTAGAAGAGTTCTAATGTTTTACCCCTTCCTGTAGTTAGTTTCATGATTTCAGGTCTTACATTGAGG